ACGCACCGTGACCTTGTGCTGGCCGGTGAGGTTGGGGGCCTCGCAGAGCAGCTGCGTGTCGGACACGGTGAGGCTGCAGGGCGTGTCGCCGATGAGCACCGTGAAGTTGAGCCTCGCGTTCCCGGGCGCCGCGGGCAGCAGGTTCCGGCCCTGCGGGGGGGCGGGCGGGTCAGCCCCAGCGCGAGGGGCCCCAAAACGAAGAAGAACCCCCAAACGAGGAAGAGCCCGGGGTCGGGGCGGACCCCAAGTCCCAAAACAAAGAAGAGCCCCCAAACAAGGAACAGCCCCAAAATGAAGAACAGCCCCAAAACGAGGGAGAGCCCCCCCAAAACAAAGAGCCCCAAAATGAGGAAGAACCCCCCAAAACAAAGAAGTGCCGCAAAACAAGAGCCCCCAAAACAAAGAAGAGCCCCCAAACGAAGAGGAGCCCGGGGTCAGGGTAGACCCCAAACCCCAACATGAGGAAGAACCCCAAAGCGAGGAAGAACCCCAAAACGAAGAGCCCCCAAACAAGGAAGAACCCTAAAATGAGGGAGAGCCCCAAAACGAAGAGGAGCCCCAAAACGAGGAGGAGTCTCAAAACAAGGAAGAGCCCCCAAAACGAAGAAGAGCCCCAAAACGAGGAATAATCTCAAAATGAAGAGCCCCAAAACGAGGAAGAGCCCCAAAATAAAGAGGAGCCCCAAAATGAAGAGGAGCCCCAAAACGAAGAGGAGCCTGGGGTCAGGGTGGACCCCAAGCCCCCAAACGAAGAGCCCAAAAAAGAAGAAGAGCCCCAAAACAAAGAGGAGCCCCAACACGAAGAGGAGCCCCACAACAAAGATGATCCCAGGGTTGGGGGATCCCAAGTCCCAAAACGAAGAAGAGCCCCCAAATGAAGACGATCCCGGGGTCAGGGTGGACCCCAAGCCCCAAAACGAAGAGTCCCAAAATGAAGAAGAGCCCCAAAATGAAGAAGAAACCCCAAAGGAAGAAGATCCCGAGGTCAGAGTGGACCCCAAGCCCCAAAACGAAGAAGAGCCGCCAAAGGAAGATGATCCCGAGGTCAGGGTGGACCCGAAGCCCCAAAACGAAGAACCCCAAAATGAAGAAGAGCCCCAAAACAAAGAAGAAACCCCAAAGGAAGAAGATCCCGAGGTCAGAGTGGACCCCAAGCCCCAAAACGGAGAAGAGCCCCCAAACGAAGACGACCCCGGGGTCAGGGTGAACCCCAAGCCCCAAAACGAAGAAGAGCCCCAACACAAAGAAGAGCCTCAAAACGAAGACGACCCCGTGGTCAGGGTGGACCCCAAGTCCCAACACGAAGAAGAGCCCTAAAATGAAGAAGAACCCCAAAATGAAGAAGAGCCCCCAAACGAAGAAGAGCCCCCAAACGAAGAAGAGCCCCAAAACAAAGAAACCCCAAATGAGGAGGAACCCCCAAAGGAAGATGATCCTGGGGTCAGGGTGGACCCCAAGCCCCAAAACGAAGACAATCCCATGGTCTGGGCGGACCTCAAGCCCCAAAACAAGGAAGAAGCCCCAAACAAAGACGATCCCGGGGTCAGGGGTCCCCCAAGCCCCAAAACGAAGAAGAGCCCCCAAAGGAAGGTGATCCTGGGGTCAGGGTGGACCCCAAGCCCCAAAACGGAGAAGAGCCCCAACAAGAAGAATAGCCTCAAAATGAAGAACCCCAAAACGAAGAAGAGCCCCAAAACAAGGAAGAAGCCCCAAACAAAGATGATCCCGGGGTCAGGGGGGCCCCCAAGCCCCAAAATGAAGAGCCCCAAAATGAAGAAAAGCCCCCAAACGAAGACGATCCTGAGGTCAGAGTGGACCCCAAGCCCCCAAAACGAAGAAGAGCCCCCAAAGGAAGATGACCCCGGGGTCAGGGTGGACCCCAAGCCCCAAAACGAAGAAGAGCTCCCAAAACGAGAAAGAACCCCAAAACGAAGAAGAGCCCCAAAATGAGGAAGAGCCCCAAAACGAAGAAGAACCCCAAAACAAAAAAGAGCCCCCAAAGAAAGAAGAAACCCCAAAGGAAGATGATCCCGAGGTCAGGGTGGACCCCAAGCCCCAAAACGAAGAACAGCCCCCAAACGAAGATGAACCTGGGGTCAGGGTGGACCCCAAGCCCCAAAACGAAGAACAGCCCCCAAACGAAGCTAACCTTGGGGTCAGGGTGGACCCCAAGCCCCAAAACAGAGAAGAGCCCCAAAACAAGGAAGAACCCCCAAACGAAGATGACCCCGGGGTCAGGGTGGACCCCAAGCCCCAAAACGAAGAAGAGCCCCCAAACGAAGATGAACCGGGGGTCAGGGTGGACCCCAAGCCCCAAAACGAAGAAGAGCCCCCAAACGAAGAAGAGCTCCCAAAACGAGAAAGAACCCCCAAACAAAGAAGAAACCCCAAAGGAAGATGATCTCGAGGTCAGAGTGGACCCCAAGCCCCAAAACAAACAAGAGCCCCCAAACGAAAAAGAGCCCCCAAACGAAGACGAACCTGGGGTCAGGGTGGACCCCAAGCCCCAAAACGAAGAAGAGCCCCAAAACAAAGAAGAAACCCCAAAGGAAGACGATCCCGAGGTCAGGGTGGACCCCAAGCCCCAAAACAAACAAGAGCCCCCAAACGAAGACGATCCCGAGGTCAGGGTGGACCCCAAGCCCCAAAACAAACAAGAGCCCCCAAACGAAGAAGAGCCCCCAATCGCAGCCGAGCCCGGGGCCAGGGGGTCCCCAGGCCCCAGCGCGAGGCCGACCCGGGTTGGGGGGCCCCCCAGCACCCCGCACCCCGCCCCCGCACCTTGAGCACGAGCGGCGCGCCGGGCTTGAGCTGCAGGGCGCCGAGCGGCTCGAGCTCGGGGTCGGGGAAGTAGCGGAAGCGCGAGGCGTTGAGCGCGAGCAGCGCGCGCACCCCGTCCATCACGAAGCCCAGCTCGTCCGGCCGCGCGCCGCGCTCGGGGGGACCCCGCGCCCCC